TGGTGATTTCGAGGCAAAGTTGGGCACATGTGGGCAGCGTTACAGGATGGGGCAGTTCACAGCCACGGCCCAAAACGGAGGAGGAGGGGGGGGGGGGGGGGACGAAGCCGGGCGGGCCGACGTAACGAAGAGGAAACCTGGAGCAAGGGTAGAATGGTCGGAAAAAGTCGGGGATGCAAGGGAAGGGGAGAGGCATAGCGCGCGGCACGGCGTTCGCGCCATTGTCGGTGACCTGAGGCACAATGAGCGGTCTCCGCGGCACAACCTCCAAACGGGCCCGCAGTGTCACCTCAGCTGCGGCGCGCTCGACCTGACCTGACACTCCGGCGGCGCTGCACGGCGCAGCGCAGTACGCCCCGCCCCGCCCCAAGCCCCGGTCCGCGACCGCCGCGGTCAGCTGCCGCCAGTCCGGCCGACACAACCTGACCCGCGCTGCTGATCGCCATCCCCGCCGCACGTGCACGGTAGCTGGGCGCGGCGCGACGCCGCGGCGCCTCCGCGCGCGCACGCGCCCCGCGCTGGCGCCGGCGCTGGTTCGGCGGCCGCCCCCGGAAGCGGCGCGGCAGGGCGACGGGTCCCACCGGCCTGTCACGACCGGCCGCCACCGGGCAGCGACAGCGCCCCGCCGGCCGTCGCCGCCGACACGTCAGCCGAAGCCGGCGCCCGAGACGCTCGGCCGCGCCGCGCCGGCTCGGGGCACGTCCCCGCGCCGGCCAATCACGCGTGTCCCGACGGCGACAGCAGGTAGATCTGTCACCACTCTTTGATTGCGCTGGTCCACGAATAGGCCCCGAAATACCCACCACGTGTCTCGATCCCAGAACGGCTCCCCGGATCTGGATCGTGGGAAGCGACGTTTCTGCCTGGGACGGATCCGCTCGTGAAAGCACGGCGCACTTCTGAAGATGACTTACGGAGTATGAAACGAAGGCCGGAGGGGGAACACATAATCGCAGATACCGGCCCCAGCTCAGACTCGCAGCCGCAGGAAAGACGAGTTTGCAGGTGGCTTCGAGACCACAAACGCGTGGACCTGTGAGTTCTACCCCTCCGTCGCTGGGCCGGTTCCACACCAGCACGCGATACGACGGAACCCAGTGCCGGTAAACCGCATCCAAGTACGCACGAAACTATGGGATAGGACGGCTTGACATGGCGATGTCTATGAAAACACCAACATGAAAACTGGGCTTTGAAGAGATCTGCGTATCCCATTTGGACCTCCACACCAGGGCACGCGTCACACATCTGTCCCTACGCAGCACGCCTCAAAAGATACAGCTTCCAAGATGAGATAGAGCGTCAAAATGCAAACACCTCCGGCACCATAAAACACGCTCAGAAGTACTATCGACGCACGGAGGTTGCTAAGATACTGACTGGTGAATGTTGCGCTTAGCATCGTCACATCAGCAGACCTGCGCCTGGTGACTGCCGGGCGAGGCTCGTTCGAAGTTGGTCTGCTCATTGTTCAGCAACTTGCAATGTTCTGCAACTCAAAGGTCGCAATCCGCTGCACGGCTGCCTTTGCAATATGCATCTACGCGGTTTAATCCTGGTATACTGCTGCCGTTGGCAAATGTCTGAGAATTCTATCTTTTCAAAAATGTTTGAGAATTCTAAGAGAAGTCCGGTAAGGAGTCTGCCTGTAAGTCGAGCAAAGGTCAGCTTTGAATTAGTTATTAACCACCAGTTTAAATGACGGCGTTATATTTTCTGAGTACGTTTTGAGTTCACTTTAGCACCACGTGTTTTTTTGTAAAGATTCAGTTCAAAACTTTAATTGAAGAGATTTCTTTGGACAAGCGCCCAAGCTAAGCAGTGCGTGTTGCGGGAGCCTGATCCCACCACCCGATCTTGAAATTCCAGGTCAATGATAGCGTTTTGCGGCGGAAGTTTGCCCTACCGCAATGCTCGCCATGGTCAGCCATGCCCTCTGACGTCATTTGACTTTAAGTGAGACCGCCGCCACAGGCCGCAGGCCGTCCCCGTCAGGGGCAAATCGCAAACGCCTGAAGCTCCTCCAATCCCCCTGGCCACGGGTGCGTGAATGGGAAGGCAGTCGCTCTAATTAACCGAGCTATCCGGACGAATATTTGCTCTACACGCTTCATCGCAGGTGAAATACGTCCGTAGAATTATCGCCAAGCGAGACATGAAATATGAAATGAGTAACTGATATAAACCACGCCATAAAATAGACATCAGAGTGTTGCCACATGCATTGATTTTCTGCGAAACAAGATTCGGCACGCCTGATCTGTCATGAGGTTGCAACTTAATAATGGGCCGCATGTTAACTGACATAACATATCTTTCAAGAGCTTATGTTTGCTATCATCTTAGTTATGTGCGCCACAGTTTATTCCACGCATGTTCTTCGACAATATCTGACGGCACGCGATTGTTGGCAGCCATTTCTAGCCATAACATTATTAATGTATTAATTACGCTAACACAAGCAATGCTTTGCATGACAAGAATACAGTAAAGCTGGTTCTGGTCCAAATGAGCAGATGAGCTTGCAATATATTGCGCTGCATTGCAGTTTGTGCCACCGGTACTTTCTGCTAGCCCAGTTCCAATCGACAAAAGCAGTCTTGGTAGAAACTAGGGACTGGTTCGGCCGGTTTCTGCGACACTTCAACGTCACGACTAGAGACGCAACTTTCTCCCAAAAATGCCAGCCCGAAGCTTAGACCCCCCCCCCCCCCCGTCCAGCTGGTGTCCAGCCCGTAAAAGCCCGCTTTGTTAAAATGCTGACACGTCATTAACCCGTAAGTACAAAGTTATTGGAAAATGCGTTTTATCATTTCACCTTAAATTTCAGACCTATATATTAAGGCGTGCATAACATGACATGTAGGAGTCATCTAATAACACATAGCATTGTTTGGCTAACACCAGTGATGTTGCCAAAGAGCGGCAATCAAAGTACCCGAACAATTGAATCTATAATGCACTTCACAAGATCTTAAACACTGCGAGAACAGTTTTCAAGTACATATGTCAAAGGAGGAAGGTGGAAATTAAATCCACCTTTTACTAAAATGTTCCAAAGATTCCATCCGTCTACCTCATCTCAATTGAATACAGGTTATTTCCCAAAAAAATCAAGCATCTAACTACAAAAAGCCTATCATGCTCCGCTATTCTTCTGAAAATGCATGCATCAACTGATAGCTTTGTACTGACGGAGCAAAATATGCTGTCTTTTCAAGTAATGGGAAGTCTCAGTTGAGTACGATGTGTATGAGCTCAAACAACATCCGACCAAGTCACAGTTGCCACAATTTCATAATTATCGGTGAGGAACCAAAGCCAGCCTATTATATGGTGCTTCATGTCCTTAAGTGGACACATAACGCAACAACACCACATCAAAATCACATGCTAGCTTCGGAATGATCCATGTTTCTCTCTTATCACCACCCAAGTTCCACACCACACGCACCATTTGTGTGATACTGCGTAAGAGCAAGAAGAGCAAAAAAAAAGCACGAATATTTGCCCCTCCAGTGATATCGTGGACATCTAGCAATGCCATCAAAAACCGTGACATATTGGTGCATGTTGCAGAGAAACTTTTATGAAAACAAACACAAATGGTAAACATAATTCTCAGGAACACTTTCCACAGTTTAAATAGTCTGCAGGCTGCAACTTTCGATAATTATCGAATACTTCATTGACGTCATATGTTGAGATGAGTATTTTTTCGCAAATAACTGCATACAGACACAAATATTAGAAGAAACGAACAAATGAGACGCAACAAAAGCCTGAATGACAACTATGTTGAAAAATAGCTACAATCGCAGTACGGGAAAACTGTATAAGGTACGTTCCCTGTGGTTGTGGTCGCAACTTGTATCTCCTTCAGATATAGATACACAAACCCTATGCCCCACTTTTCCACTTTCGACGACTGTTGGATATTGGATACGCCGGTAACCGCTGGCTGATGAGATGTTTCGCCTCTTGCCGGTCAGAAATCGGCGGGGTGACGAGTTGACAAGTTGCGCCCCTAAATCACGACATATCAGCATCGCAAAACCGTTTTCGGTCAAAGCCTTGGCAAGCCTGAGCCACAGCCCGCGCCAACCGGCGCCATTCGCCTGCTGTGTAAATGCAGCCGGTGACGCGCAGTGCGCAGACACAAGCCGGGTGGCGGCCCACGCGACTGGTCCGCAGTGTCTGACTACGCGCAGCCGGGCTGGTCTCGGGCGCGTCATCGGCCAACAGGCAATAGGCGTCCGGTCATTAATACGCGCGGCGAACGGCGTGGGACGGCAGCGATGCCCCCAAGCACGCCAGCCGTTTGCGCGCCACGTGACCCGGCAGCGCCATCCCCAAGCACGCCGGCCGTCGAGCGCGCCATGTGGCTCGGCAGCGCCATCCCCAAGCACGCCGGCCGTCGGCGCGCCACGTGACTCGGCAGCGCCACCCCCAAGCACGTGACACGTCGTGGGCACCAGCGGCGGCACGACGCGTCCAGCTGGCGATGAGGCCGGCCGCTGAACGCGAGCCAGCGCACCACCAGCCACGCGTGTCTGCCGTGCCGGCCGCGGCCCGGCGGCGGGCGCGGTGTTCGAGCCCAGCGCCGACAGCCGCTCTCACGATCAGGACCGTCGGGCCGTGACGGCGGCCGCCCGGCCACCTCGGACAGCACCGCCGGCAGGGCTGCCGGCGACCGTCACCGGGCGCGGCATAGCGCCGCGGCACGTCCGGGCGCGCCTCCGGAACCGGCCGCTCGGCTCGTGACCGCAAGGTGCGGTGTCGGCGGGCGCCTTGACACACACCGGTCGCGCCACGCTACAGGAGGCCCGTGACAAAGGGTCCTCCGACAGCCCGACTCAATGCCTATCAATACAAACGCTACTGAGATTACTGTCAGGACACGGCAGGTGTCCGGAAGCACTGCACGATCGGCGCGAGAAGCACGCAGCGCTGCGAGCTTCGCGCGCCTCGCGAGCACAGCGGGGCGAGCCCGGACCCACCTCATCTGAAACACCACGCCGCCCAGTGTCGACACCATGCCCCGCCGAGCCGGGCCGGGTCCTGGGGCGGCCGGCCACGCGCCGTGCGCTCCGGCCAGCTTTGGTCGCCTCAGGTCCGGTCCGCTCAGGTCAGGTCAGGTGGGGTCACGTCGGGCTTGGTCCGCGCAGCGCGGGGCGCTCCAGTGCCGGAGGGCGGGTGCGGCACGTGCGGTCAGGGAGCGGGGGCCGCCGTGTGGCACCGGCAGGGCGGCGGAAGCGACACTGGCGCCGGCCGGGCCGCGCCGCCGCCAGCAGCCGCGCCCGCCCCCACGCGCCGCCCAAACACCGCCGGCAGCCAGGTCACGGTCACGGCTCTCGCGCAGGCCCGGTTCCGGTGCCGGTCCCGGCCCGAGCCGCCAGCTGGACACCGCCCAGCTCCCTCAAACGCTTGTGCTCCACACTTCCAGCTAAAGACGCCTTGATTCATGATCGAACGTCGACGAATAAAAGGAAATCGCGACGCTCAACTCAAAAGTCGGGAGATTGGCCGACACAAAGCTGTCTGGTTCTGGGACTGTAAGCCAATACAAAGCTGCAGCCACCGTGCTGGCTCCAGCACGAGGCACAGTGGGAGAATCTCCCAGCGACCACAAACTCCATGTTACGGATAACAGAAAAGCTCCGCGAAATCCGATTGTCAATGAATGCAATCAAGATGGGCCGAACACACGGCTTTTACCGTGCCTGCAAAATCCACTCGAATAATGACTGAGTCACCTGTACTGTCGTCACTTTTCTTGTGGCATGCGACTGTTGTACGTCCCATGACAAGCTCGTCACACAGAAGCCCCACTAACCTAGGCACCTGACGGCGGGCGTACGCCTCTGCGGGCAAGTTGCCCGCTCCCGCAGGCACGTGCAACCCTCCATGACTGTCACCTTCCATCCTGGCAGACACATTGGGACAGCGCGACGGTCAGACAATGCCGTTGATGAGCACAATCATTATATAGCAATCATAAGTCCATCACTTTCTGGCGGACGTCACTATTTATATAAACACTATCTGATGGATGTAACTAGATGCTACCAAGGGCGCAGCCAGGACTTTCTCAAAGTGGTGGGAGGCCTCGGTGAGAATGCATCATGGTGATTTTCAACTTTCGGTCGAGAGCAGCCTATAGTGGAAAAGACGAAACCCTGTGTAGGGGGGGGGGGGCACCCTCCTCCCCGCTTGTCTGCACCCTGGATATTATCACCTTGACGTCAACGACACATTTCGCTGGCCTTTAAACGACCTTCATGTCTGCGAGTCTAACATACGGCGACGTCATAAAATCACTTCTGACTAGTGTCGCGCACAGTGGTCTTTCCAAAACACTGCGGGTGATACCATTTTACTCTTCATAAAAAATTACGAGCCCACTTCATTTCGCGTGCACAATCGTCAAAAGCGAAGGCGTTGATGCGCACTGGCTTGGGAATTGGTATGTGGTTGATACGCGCCTATTTTGTACGAAAATGTCAGGCCTTTTCCCTCCCCCGGAAGCCAAACAACCGTATTCCCAAAGGACCAAATGGTTTGCCGATACAACATTTCCGGTTACCCTTGATCGCTCACTATTTCACCCTTCGAGGAACATATGCTGTGGTTTTCTCGTAACATGGCTGTCGCGTTCCTTACTGAAGCGTCAACGGTCTAGACAATAACATGCTAGTCCACATTGTTCGCAGAAGTAATTTGTAGAAAAAATTGCCTGACCACAAAAAACACACATTGTTAAAATAGCCAGCTCCCACATTTGCATTAAACACTGTTGAATAAAGCGTGTTGAGTGGCAGCTGGTACGTCCTCCTGATCTTAAGATGAGAATCCGTCCCCTTAAGCTCTGAAGATTACGTTATCTCAAAATCACCAACTGACACAAACCGCGATATCGTGTCTCGCTACGCCGGTGACAAACCCTGGAGCATGCGGATGCAAAAAGCAGCAGGACCACAACATTCTTAATATGTTGTGGTCTTGCTGCTTATATTCTCAATATTGGGCAAACATCGCATGTCATCAGCGTTGCTTACTGAGCACGCTTCGCTCTGCGCATGCCAGCTGATCGATTAAGCCCGCCATCCGCTGACTGACAGGTCCCTGTTCGTTCACACATCATCCTGCCCGTGCTCCCGACCAAGCCTGTAACTTCCCGCACACCCATTGCATGTGTCTTCTCTGGCGTACGATCCGATCTCATTTTCTTTGAAACATAACGACACAGAAGCAGGGAAGGCCACTAAGTGATGGGTGTGCCGACGTAACAGGTGGCCAGTTGAAATAAATAACCACCACCTGGAATCAGCATTCTGACGTCACACATCAAGAAGCGCCTAATGACAGGAAAGATGTGAATTATTATAAAAGATTTACCAGCAGTGTCACGATGCAGGACGCGGCGTCAGCCCCGACGTGGCTCAAACTAAAGTTGTTCACGTAAGGGGACTGCAGTCGTGCATGCGAGAGTATCACGGAAATAGTCGGAGACAATATATTTGCGCCACGCAGTTTGTTATTGTTGGATTTCGTGGACAAAGGCATTACGTGTTTTCGCCGACCACCAGGCTCATAAAAGGTGACCATTTTAAAAAAGCGATCTCAAAATGGCTGTTTTCAAGAAAAAAATCCTGACCGCTCGCGCGGATTCCCAGATGCACGTTCGCATTGCTGCCAAATCAGTTGATGAGTCTGACCGAATGTAGCACATGGCTAACCACAATCCAAGTTCTCAGCTGACACCAAGCTGAGAACTTTCCGGAACTGCTTCATATTGAAGTTGCAGCACGGACGCAAAGAGGAGGGGAGGATGGACGAGCCGAGTGAATGGGGACTGCAACCCATGAGCTAACCGAAAGTCACACTCCGGCTCAGCGATCACGGCGGCGCTATCAGACTGGCGGCGGCTTTCATGTCGCATCCTGCCGACCCGACGTCGGGGCCAGCCTCCACCGGTCGGCGCCCGACGACGGCCTGTCGAGCTGTGATTGGCCGAGTCCCCGGGAGCTGCCGACCCCAGCCCAGCCAGGTCGGCCGCCCGGTCCGCAGCCGCGGCCGCCGGGTCGGTCGGCCCGTCCGCAGCCGTGGTTGTCGGGTCAGCCGCCCCGTCCGCAGCCATGGCTGTCGGGTCGGCCGCCCGGTCCGCAGCCGTGGTCACCGGGTCAGCCGCCCCGTCCGCAGCCGTGATCGCCCGGTGGCCGGCCCGTCCGCAGCCGTGGTCGCCGGGTCGGCCCACCTGGCCGTCGCTCCGCGCCCCGAGGCGACGCTGACGTCACGCGACGCCGCGTCCCGATTTGGCACGGCGCCGGCCGGTGCCGACACGAGCTAATCCGGCCTGTCGCCGGCGCCGGCCCGTCCGCGGCCCCTGACGGCCCCTGGCGGCCCCCGCCCCGCGCACGGCCGCTCATTCAGCCGCGGCTGCTGGTCGGCGCCGCCGCCCGGGCCTGCAGCCCCGTCCCCAGTCCGCTGCCATTCATTCCTCCTGTTTTGGAGCGACCGGCGCGCGGTGACGCCGCCATCTGTCCCCGGCTCCGCTGATCGGCCCTAGCACCGTGCGCGTGTATTTTGCTGCTAAGTGACGGCCAGCAACGGATCAACGAAACCCATCAATTATCACTTCCTCAATTAGGCATCACATCTCTTTTTCCGATATGTACGATGGATGAAAACTGTTATCTGTTCAAAGCATAACAGGCAGCGTACACGGACGACCGACTAGCTTGCAAAACAAGCCCTATCAGCGCACAACACCTCCCGCATTCAACGCGTACTCTTCCCCCAGTTGGGACTCGTCGCCAGGCCGTAACGCTGCCCGGAGACGATGATTCGCCGGATCACGACGTCTCCATTGCCGAGTCGCCTGGCAGTCACGTCTCCCATGTCGTGCAGGCGTCGGCCTGTCCGGCCCGCCGTGCACCAGCGCTGTGCACCGCCGCACGGCGCAGCCGCGGCGCCCGGCTCGGTGGCCGGCCGCCGTCGCGGTGCACCAGGCGGGCGCCGCGCGGCCGCCGGCCAGCGCCAGGTAGCCAGACGAGTCCTTTGTTCCGCCATGGCCGGCGGCCGGCCGAAGATACGGCCCCAAATGGCGGCGGTCGGGCCAGGCCCGTGCGGCGCGCGCGCGGGGCCGAGCCCGGCCGGCCGCCGGTCCTGAACCGCGGGCCGCACTGCACCGCACCGCGCGGTCCGACGGCTATCAGCGCGCGGGGAAGGGTCGGCCGGCTCGACTCGCCTAACACAGCAGGCTAGTCTCGGCGGGGCGGCGGGACAGCGACAGGTGCCCGGCCGGCCTGATCCAGCTACCAGGGCTGGTGGTTAGGCGGCACGGCCGGGCCCGGCGCCGAGCCGGGGCCGCTGGGACGGACAGCACGGAACTGCGGTCCGCGAACGGCGAGTGACCCGCGGCGCTCAGGCCGCTCTGGCCCCACCAGAAGCTGCCCCAGGGCCGGCGTACCCCCGACACACCATTGCAGACCTTGACGGTGGCCGCGTGAGAGCCCCAGTCGGCGGACCCGACACACGGACACGGGGAGCTGCCGCGTGGGACCGTCGGTCGGCGCGCTCCCGCACCGCCGCTTCCTGGTGGCCGGCCGGCGCCCCCCTGTCTGGCCGTCGCCGTCCGCGGACGGCCCGCACCGGTCGGCAGGGGTCGGAGCCGAGGTCAAGTCCGGTCAAGGGCGCCTCGCCGTGGGAGTTCGCACGGACCCGGCCCCAACGTACGGAGAGCGTCCCACAGTCCGAGTCGGGGCGAGCGCCCAGCACGCGAGGCGCAGCAGGTTCCCGTACATAACGCCAGACACCACGTGGTGCACAGTGCGAGGGTACGGCAAGAGCTGGATGACTCGACCGGTGCACACTGGCTTATGCTCAACCCATGTGTGACAAATTCGACAGAGGATGAAGGCCGCTCGGTGCATGCAGCCCTGTAGCTAGATCCCACGGGCAATGCTTCGCTGGCCTCGGTTTTCACCAACTGTGGTGACGCTAATGCCCTCAAGAGTTCACATGTGTCAATAAATAACACAACGGATGCTGTTGCCACATCTCTGACCTGGAGATGGTTGAGTTCGCCGCCCACACTGGGCCCACCGCTCCGTGAAGACAGTAACAGCTTACCTGGAACAGAACAGCCCTGTCAGCCGCATCGCGCACATCACATATGCCAGGCCACATTTCCTGGCATTGTGGCCGACAGAAAATGCGAGGCATCACT